TTTATATTTGTTATTGGCACAACTTAAAAAAAAGTAATGTGAAACACATTGTTCATATTAAACCACATGTAGGTACACTCCCAATATATTCCAGGGTTTTTTTTGTCATTGTTCTGGAAGAAGCTTATGTTTTATGTGTGTCATGCAAAAGAAAGACCAGCTATTAGGTTAGGCTGACCTGGCAACCTAGCCACTGTGAATAATTTTGTCTATGATTAAATCAGTTCTTTTAGTAATTTGTTCCCCCTATGGTTAAATGGGTTCTGATTTCCAAATTACAGATATACCATTATCAAACCAAGTCTGTTGCTGTTAATTGCCATTCGTAGTGACCCTACAGGATAGAGTAGAATGCTTTCATAGGGCTTCCTATGCTGAGATCTGTAAGGGCACAGTCTCCTGGTCTCTCTCCAGGGAGCTCAAAGTAGCTTTGAACCAGCTACCTGTCAGTTAACAGGCCGACCATTAACACGACACCACCAGGGCTGCTCAAGGATCAATTCACCACCACAGCGGCCCTATAGGACAGAGGAAAACTGCGCCTGTGGGTTCCCAAAACTGTAACGCTCTGTAGGGGAGTAGAAAGCCCCATCTGTCTCCTGATGAGCTGCTGGTGTTTTTGAACTGCTGAAGAGCTTGCAGTTAGCAGCTCCCTGCGCAACCAGGATGCCACCATGCATACAAACACGTGATTGTCGCAGCCTCCCCAGGAAGAGAGCTTTTACCAGTAAGCTGCCACCCTGTGGCAACCTGATTTCAAAGTGCTTTTTGTTGGCTGCACAAAATGTCCAGAGAGCTGTTTGGTGGTGCATGTCACTCTGCCTCTGGAGGAAACCCCTGTGCTCTCGGGGCTGCTCACCAGCGAGTATCAAACCCAGGTCACCTGCAAACTCCCACTAGAGCAGGGTTTTTATTTTTGTTCTGTGCAAGCCTCTGTGGTGAAAGGCCGGCCAGGAAAAACACGATGCTCGAACTTCAGTTTCACTTGTTCTTTCTCTTCCTTCTCTCTCGGTGGTCACCAGGTTCAAACTGTGTTCGACTTTCCAAGTGTTTGGGGATTAAAACCTCCACCTAATTCCACCCAGCAGGTGAAATTGGCTATTGCAGAAGTCAAGAACAGCGGCGGAGCTAACTGTGCAACTGTGCTAACCAGCCTTCTCACCAGGGCCTTCAACGGCAGCTATATTTGGGAGACCTCTCTGGAGGAAGTAAGCCTACTACTTAGTTCCCAGAAGATGAGGTGTGGTTTTAATGAGCTCATTCCAAAGGGGGGAGGAGGGTTTAGAGGCGGGAACAGGCAAAGGGGGTGGTTCTGTGTTTCTATTTTTAAACTGCTTATAAAGCTCATTCTCTGTTGTCCGACAACTTGTAGAGGAGGGAGAGATTTCACAAACCTAAGAAAAGGTCACGAGCAGCCCCAATCTGGTTCTCAGGGTAAAGACGAAAGCAGTAATAGACTTCAGTTTCAGCTGAAACTGGGGTAATCGGCTCTTGGGCCACTGCCAAATTCCAAGGAGACCTTGACCATGCCTGCCGGCCCAGCTCCCCCCAGGGCTCCGCGGGTGCAGGCTGGTCCTGCGCGTCTGTGCTGCAGGGCTGGTGCAGGCTGCCCTGCCCCAAGCCAGAAAAGCCAAGTCCCCAGAGCAGGGCTTCTCTTCTAGGCACCTTGGACAACCTAGAGTTCAGCCAACCCCACACCAAACCCACAGCAACCCTACACAGGATTTCTGAGGCCATACGTCTTTATGGGAGCAGACAGCCTCATCTTTCTCCTGAACTTGGAATTCCAACCCCAAACCAAACTCAGTGCTGCAGTCTATTGTAACGCACAGCCACCCTAGAGGACAGTAGAAAGGCCCCTTTGAGTATCCAAGACTGTGAATCTTTCCTGGGAGAAAGACAGCCCCATCTTTCTCCTGTGAAGCAGCTGGGGGGTTCAAACAGTTCACCTGGGGGTTAGCAGCCCAATGCATAGGCTACAATGCCACCAGGGTTCTTTCCAGGGAGTTCCAGAGGGTGATCAATGCCCTGCATCATTCATATGGCATCACAGCAATCACCTTGCTCTAATGTTTTAGATACCTTCGTGGGGATGGTTTAGGGCTGCTCAGTCTGTTGGTCCTCATCATTTTATGTGCTAAGCCGCGGTTCTCAACCTGTGGGTCGCGACCCCTTTACAAGGGTTGCCTGATTCATAACAGTAGCAAAATGACAGTGATGAAGTAGCAAAGAAAATCATTTTATGCTTGGGCGGGGTCACCATAACATGAGGAACTGTATTAAGAGGCTAAGGCATTAGGAAGGTTGAGAACCACTGGGCTAAGGGCTCTAGTGCTTCAAGATTAACAGTCTGCCTCAATACTCTGTTTATTATCCAAAAACAAACAAACAAAAAACAAAATGAGATTTAAGACCTTGCAGCAAGGCCCTTTCTTCTTCCTTCAGCGAGCCTCAGGCTCTCTGCCATCTAGCCCATTGACTCATGGTGACTCTTTGGGGCAGGGTAGAACTGCCCCCATGGGTTTCCGAAACTAACTCTTCATAGGAGTAGGAAGTCTCGACTTTCTCCAGCAACTCTCACAACCACTTCCTCCAGAGCTTCAACCTCCCCTGAGACATTCAGAACGCTCTCGGGCCTTGAAAACTTCATGAGTTTGGATATGGCCCCCAGTCATACTGCGTTTGAATCTGGATTCGGCCCGGGATGCTCAGACTTCTCTGGTAAGATGGCGACGTTCTCCACCGCATGAGATCTTGCTCTCCAGACACTTGTGCAAAATACCTAATTCAGGGGCAACAACAACTAAATACTCCTGAGACTGTCCCGGCCGAGAAGGTTTCAGGGCCAAACCTAACTGAACTCACTGCCATTGAGTCGGTGTGGACTCAATAGTGACCCTTCAGGGCAGGGTAGAACTTCCCAGGTGGGTTTATGATTGCTTAAGGGAGTGGAAAGCCTCATCCTTCTCCGTCCCATAGACACTTCCCTTGGGTTCTTCTCTGGCTCCACCGCAGCCTCCTCACTAAGTGGGTAGGAAGTGCAGATCACACTAGGTGACAGTCAGAGGGAGTGACCCTGACATGACTCGAAAACTTGTTTCTGGAAAGAAAGAACAAAATTAAGAAAATGATTCCTGTAGTTAGTTATAACAACAAAAACGTTTTTTCACGAGCCCAGCTCACATGTATCTACAAGCCTAAAATTCTATGCTAATTTATGTTTTGAACTTTGTAATTCACATTCTTCTTGGGAAGGAAAATGCAAATGAGGTTTTCTACACCTGCAGCGTTAGTTAGCCCTCTGGAGACCCACCGGGGCAGTTCTACTGTGCCCTCCAGGGGCGCTCTGCTTCTGCTCTGAGTCAGGACGGACTCCGAGACAGTGAGCTCGGTTTTGATGGGAAGACACTCGGCAAAGCTGTCATTATCACAATGATGTTTTATGAATCTGCAGCAGCGGGTTTTCCCTGATGGGTGCGTTTATATAGTTGCTGATGTTTGTCAAACTTTGGTGTTTTAGCTACAATCATGTAGGTACTGTGCATATTTGTGAACCTGGATCAATAGCTTTTCTTGAGAATGAAGTCGTATTGAAAAACCAAAAAAGCCTTGTGCCCAGTGACTAAGAAGGCTGTTAATGTAGAAAGGATTTCCACGATAATTTTGTTGATAATCACTATCATCTCAGAAATGTTACCTTTCAGCAATTTATCCTATGACTTGAACGGGTAATAGACATGAGTAAGAATCCTGCATGGTCAGAATGGAGAATAAACATGAGTAAGAATTCTGTATGGTCAGGTACAGGAGTTCCGTGGGAGGACAAGGGGTGGGGGCAGTGAATTCGACCATAGCCATGTGGCCACTGCCCACCTGAACTAAATATTCCCCAAAAGGGAAAACGCTAGAAACCAACTTTGATTTTCCTAAGCAGGACTCAGCTGCGTTCAATATAAGTACACTCTTCCATGGAAGTTGTACATAATATAACGAGTTCCAATAATGTCTGTCAAAAACAAAACTAGGTTATTTGCTGGCTGAGTAAGGTCCCCCTCCACCTCCCTCGGTGCAAAGGTTTGCTGTGGTGGAGTTTCTGCGTGCCGACCATGGAGCCTGGCACAATTGTGGACCTGTACCGAAACTTGGGCGGGGACGGTATTTGATACTCGAAATGGGATCAAAAGACTTGGTTCCCAGACAAGAAGCTAACCGCCCCAAGGGCTCGGCTACCCTTGCGGCGGGCTCCGAGCACAGGCTCTTCCCTGCACCGCAGGGGCCAAGGTCAGGGCCAGGCGCCGCCTGGGCGTGGGGTCAAGAAGAAGGGCCGAGGCTGCCTACCCGGGCGCGTACCCTCCCCGCCTGGGCCCGGGTTACTGGAATAGCGCCGAGGGCGCCAGCAGATTAGGAAATCCAGTCTTCCGTGGAATGGCCCGGTCAGGGGTGGAGAGGGCCAGGCGTTCGCCCTCGTTCCAACTGCGCCATTGGGGCACCCTGTACACCAAGTTTTCCGGCCACCAGGCCCAGGGTAAAACTCATCAGGTGTCCCAGGCCTTGAACGAGGGCAACGCTGCTTTCCGGGTTCCCGTGCGGGGCAGCTTGGTCGCCCCAACCCCTCCCGACAGTTCGGTCATTCCCGACTCCAGAGCCCAGCACCCGGGCCTCCGGCCCCTCCTCCGACCCCGCCTTCAGCTCCGCCCGGGGCGGCGGGAGGGGGCCGGAATTTCCCAACGCGGGGGCTCCGGCTCGCCGGTACCCGAGCAGTCCCTTTCTGTTTACGGAGGAAAGGGGAAATGGAAAACGCGGGGAGGCGGCGGCCAGTGTCTGCTGCGCCGCCCCTCGGCTGTGAGTCAGGGGCGGACGAGGGTGGCCAGGGCGCACTTGTCCGCTACCGTCCGGCAGACGCGCCAAGCTCTGGGGCCTGTCGCCCTGGCGCCCACTTCTGTCCCCGCCCGACTTCGGTGCCCCGGCGCGCCCCGTCCGGGAGGGCCGGCCAGCAGCTTCGCACGCAGCCATCGGGGGACCGGGACAGGCGCGCAGAGCCCGCGGGCGCGCGCGAAGGCAGCAGGTAACTAGAGCTCGGGGTCTGGGGGTGTCTTTCTCGTCGCGTCCCTCCGGGATGGGTCCAGAGTTCTCGCCCTGAAACGGAGGCTGTCCCCGCAGAGGGGAGAACTCCAGGTCGGGGGCAGCGGGGCTCAGTGGCGTTTCCATCCGCTTCGCGGTTCGCCTACCGGCAGCCAGCCCGGAGCAGCTGGAAAGCACCTTGCGCAAGGCTCTCACGGGTGCTGCTTCGCGACTCCTCCCCCCTCCTTCAACTTCCCGGATCCCCGGAGCCGGAGCAGTGCCAGCCTGGGCAGGGCACGGGGAAGCAGCCACCCGCTGTCACCGGGCCTCCTGCCGCGCGGGCGCTCGCTGGGGACAGCTGCACCCGCCCGGCTGAGCTCCGTTGAGTGAGCCTCGGTGACCCGGTTTCCCGGCCGCCCGGCGGCGGCGGGACCGCAGCGTCCCCAACCCAGCCCCCTGCTTGAGAACGCGTGCATTTATAGTTTGCAAGCCCTCCGAGACTCGGGGCTTTAAGAAGGGAGAGTGGGGCTTAGCGGTGCAAAGACCTTCGTGAATGGCTGAAATTGAATTTCACCCTTTCAACCTGGACTACTCTCGTCTGAGGCTAAAGAGCGGTTATAGCAGAATGGGAAACGAGGGCTTTGGGGTCTTCGAAAGAATATTCAGAATGCCACAGAAGTTTTCCCGGCAGTGATGCGCTTTAGGACTCTGGAATCTTTGTAGTTCTGAGCGGAGAGCCACGCTTAGAAGGAAGCCACTGTAGGGAGAGGGAGGGAATGGCCGGGGCGAGCTGTTTCGAAGTGAGAGAAATATTGCAGTGCTTGCCAATGTTTTCATCTTTGGGAAGGCATATTTCGGTTCAGCATCAAGAAACGAGAATGCAGTTTACCCATCAGTGGGATGTATTTGGGAGCGTTTGGTCACACAGATGCCTTTCGGATGGGGAACTGAATTTTGCATGCAGTTCCTTCTGGCAGATGGGCCTTCAGCAATGTGTCCTGCAGAGCAATTTGGACAGTGGAGGCATCTAGCAGTTTCGCCTTATCCTTGCTTTATGACGGCAATGCATCATTTTTGAAAACAAAACTAGAATAAGTCTCCCCGTGACCCCGGCGGCATTGTGGTGTTTTGGCAGGGTTACACGGGAGGTAGCGTCAAGGACAGGAAACCTGTTAGGCAAAAAAGCCTGTGTGTGCCTGTTTTCTTGGCCATTTTCTTTCACCCTAGCCTGGTCACTGTCCTCGACTTGTTTGTATACATGGGGCTAGCCCAGAGATCATTCCATTCATGTTTAGGAAAAGGGTCTCCTCATCATTTTATTGCTGAGTTTTGAAAGCATTCAAAGCAGTCCCTGCCCACCTCTCCAATCCTAACGTTGGAGAAGTAAGAATGTGCTGGGGGTGGGGGTGGTGGTGGATTTTTTATTGTAAACTGTGTGCTGAGTGGAAAACAATAGCCCTATAGTAAGAATAGCATCACTGTAGACACTTCCAGATGGATGCTGAAATCCATCAGCAATCAGTAGCAGATGGTCGGTCACCTTTACTAAGGCTGGAAACTGCCGGGGCTTTTTGCTGGCCTTTAGCGTGGCAGCAGGGTTGCTGGGAGCACTGAGTTGCCCGGAGCCTGTGTTGCTAAGGAAGTATTGAAGGCAGTCAGTAGCTCTATTCCCTCACCCCCAGCTCAGGCGTGTGCCGGGTCTTTAACTTTAGGTTATTTCCAAGGCATGCTTGAGATTTTTTTGCAGAATTTGAAAACCCCAGACCCTTCTTTTCTTGTCTGGATCAGCTGACTGAATTGTAAACTACATGGGAGTTTTCCTCTTTCTGTCTTGTATCTTGTTCATATCTGGAACTTTCTTTTCTCTGAAGCCGTCTGTTTGACAAGTCAGCCCAGAAGCCTTGGGTCGTCTCAGCCAGTCGGGGTTCTAACACGAAGCTGCTTTTGTTTGAACTTCTCTTTTTCCACATCCAAATTCTGTGAGCAGAAAGTGCAACTGAACCTCTAGCCGAAACTGAGGTCAAACGTTTCTTCCATTACCCACAACAAGTTCCTCTCAGAACTCCAGACTCCCAGGAAGCTGAACCACCACTCACTGTTCAGCTCTAACTTGTGGTGATAACAGCCATCAAAGCGTTGTATCAGCTTCTGTCGTTCCTGTTTTCTTTGTTTCTTGTCTCAGATCTAGTCTCAGAAACCTCACTGTGCAGAAGCTGTGAGTCAGATCGACTTGATGACAGTGAATTTTTCGAGCAAAGACACTGTGAGACTAGGTAGCCACGATCTGTTTGCAGATAGGGATCGGGAAGGCCTAATGTAATATCTGCAAAACTCCTCTTCCACCTACATAATGGTGGTGGTTATTTCCTTCCAAGGAGCCCGGGTATCACTGCAATTAGGGGTTGGGCTGCCAACAACCACAAGGTCAGCAGTTCGAAACCATCAGCGGCTCTGCAGGAGGAAGATGAGGCTTTCTACTCCCATACAGAGTGACAGTCTCGGAAACCCACAGGGGCAGTTCCACCCTGTCTTACAGGCTCACCATGAGTCAAAACCAACTCGCTGGCAGTGAGTTTAGCCTTGAGAACAGTGCTCCACAGGGTTTTCTTGGCTGTTGACAGATCACCAGGTCTTTCTTTTGAGGTGCCTAGGTGTGCGTTCTCACACTGCCACTTTGCCTTGGAATTGAGGGCTTCACCATTTGCCCCACCCAGGAGCTCCCTATGCATACAACAACAGCAACAACAAAATCCATGCTTTCATGTCAATTTCAACCCATAGCAACCTTATAGGAAGCGGCTGGCAGCCTAAGGCATAACCACTACGCCTCTTTCAAATGACTTTGCTCCAGACCCTGTGCCCCCAGCATCTATGTGCTGACCTCATTTAATTTTTATCGCCACCTTGTGAGGTAGGTACTATTACCGCTTTTGTTTTACAGATGGGAACGTTGGGTATGGAGAGGTTAAGGTATTGATTTGGCCCCTGCCCGTCAGCTTCTAAGGCGCTCCCTTGGGGCCTTTTGCATTGAGCTCTGCATTGAGCTGCTAACCCATGGTCAGCGGTCCCCATCTAGCAGCCAATCCGCGGGAGAGAGAGAAGGGTTGCTGCCCCGTGAAGATTTTACAGTTTCAGAAACTCGCAGGGGCTGTTCTACGGCGTCTCATTGGATCACTGCAAGTTGTCGGGATCAATCGATGGCAGTGAATTTGGTTTTTGTTGGTTTGGTTTTCGGTGGAGCCAGCTTCCCAGTCACTGCTGTAAACCAGGATGCTGGAGTGCTCTCCTGAGACATAATCCGTGTGTCAGAGTGACTGGCAAGCAGGTTAATGACAACACTGATTTCGGTGGTCGCTTTGTCAGATGAAATTCACTCTGAGGCAGCTCACCGGGCTAGGCATGTCATGCCGGCATCCCCTGGTAGACCCTGGTCAAGGAGCTTTGAACCAAGAGGCCAGACTTGTGGAATTTGGTACTGGGTGTCACGTGGGTTCAGAGCTTGTGGCTTTAAGGCCGTGAGACACCTTTCAGAGAGAGGCTCTGCTTTTAGGAGTACAGTGGTTAGAGTAGAAAGACTGGCTTCACCATGCTATAGAGCCCCCTGTCTTTTCTCCTTCAAATGAAATTGTGCTAACATTTTGAGTAACCCTCGCTCTTTATGAATCATCCCTCCATTCTTTTTGTCTTTGCAGTCCCCTGAGTGTGCCACCTGATTTGTAGGTAACAGGGTTCTGGCCAGTATAGGACGTTGGCTTTCCCCGGGTCATGGAGATGATGGATTTGCCTTTCCCGGGCTTCTTGGCTACCACAACTTCTACAAGGTTGTCTTTCTGAAAAAGAAATAAATAACAAAAAGCCCTGGTGGCAGAGTGGCTAACCCCTTTGGCTGCTAACTGCAAGGCCAGCAGTTCAAAACCATCAGCTTCTCCTCGGGAGGAAGATGAGGATGTCTACTCCCATAAGAGTTCCAGTCTGGGAAACCCACAGGGGCAGTGCTAGCCTGCCCTGTAGAATCCCTATGAGTTGGCAGTGACTGCATAACTTTGAGTTTGGTTTTTGGCCCCTTTTCAGATGTAAGCTCTGTGCTCTTAAAGAGTCCTGGTCCCAGAAAACAGCTGATTCAGAGGTTAAATGAGTCATCGCCTTTCTCACAGGGAGCCACAGGCCTGACCCAGCTAGGGTTTTTTAGCTTTGCTGCATAACTCCGTTTCCAAATTATTCCTGCCACTTGACCGTTCAGACAGGATTCTCAGATTAACGTCTGTCTCTCAGGCCCCTGGCTTCAGGACTTGAGGGTTTTCTTCCAGAGGAGGTGTGGCGCGCAATTGATTGGCTCTTTGTCTCTAAGGTCACCCTGAGTATAAAAGCCATCATGTGATCCTCAAGGGAAGAGGGCCACCCCAGGGGAACAGCAGGATCCCTTGACGGTTGGCAGCTGGGAAGGGTCCTTGGTCCTCAGAGCTGCCCGAAACCATGCTGTTGTGCATGCAGTCAGTGGACGTTTGTTGTCAGCGGCTCAAGCTGATGGGCAGCGAGTACATGCTCGGGGCTCAGGTTTCTTTGCAGAGAAAGCAGCTTGGACTCAAGGTTATCTAAGGTCCCCTTTAACTCTTCATGGTCTGTAAACTTGACTCCACTCACTGTTGGCACAAAGCCCTCCTTTTCCAAGCGCGGCATCTATGGAAGCCTGTTCCTAACCCTTTCGTATGGGATGCCAGTGGGCCTCGGGGCTGGAGTGAACCAGAGTCAAATAAACCTGGCGGTGTTTTTCTCACGCAGACTCCCGCGGACCCGCAACAGTAATGGAGTACATGAGCACCGGAAGTGACCACAAGGAGGAAATCGATTTACTAATTAAGCATTTACACGTGTCCGATGTCATAGACATTATGGAAAATCTTTATGCGAGTGAAGAGCCAGCTGTTTACGACGGCAGCCTCCTGACCCTGTGTCAGGGCAGCAACCACAATGAGGAGCGCTGCGAGTCGCTGCTGCGCGGCGGCGGCCAGGAGGTGCCCTGGCTGTCCTCAGTCAGGTATGGCACGGTGGAGGACTTGCTGGCCTTCGCAAACCACATCTCCAACACTGCCAAGCATTTTTATGGACACCGGCCACAAGAATCTGGGGTGCTATTAAATATGGTATGTTACTCTCCCATCGCTTGACCGCTTTCCTCTCTGTTGTCCCTGCTGCCGTGCGCGTTGGAATCGCATTTCCACTCGCCGTCGGGTCCGATTTTTAAATTTTTATTTAATGTCCTATCTACAGAAAGGAGCCCCGGTGGCCTAGTGGTTACATGTTGGACTGCTAACCCGCAAGGTCAGCCGTTCAAAACCACCAGCCACTCCTTGGGAGACCAAGGGGCTTTCTACTCCTGTTACAGTCCCGGAAACTCTCAGGGGCAGTTCTACCCTGTCCTGCAGTCTCTTTATGAGTCGGCATCAACTGGATGGCGATGTGTTTGGTTTGGAATATCTGAAAGAATTCCCGCCCTGTGAAAAGATTCAAGAAGAAGGGCTTCAGGACAAATTTGGTGGGAAAGAAAGGAGACACTTGATTGGTAGTTTTACACAGAGGTGATTCAGAAGAATGTCAATGGAGGTCACCCTCTTGAAGCTGTGCTATAAGGTTTACCTTTTGTCGGTCTATGAAACCCAGGATCGATGAACCTTTAGGGACCGAATGGAGAATAAGGGGTTTTTGGGGGTGGGGATGGGGGTGGGGGTAGAGCGGTGGAGGTGGGGTGAAAGCGAGATGATGTCAAAGGGTCCATGTAGAAAGAAAACAATGTTTGGAAACTGATTGTGGTAACAATTATACATTCTACTTGATGTGATTGAAATTTGGAATGATAGATGTATTAAATCCTAAATAATCATAATATTAATAAAAGAATGTCTTTTGATGGTGAGGGTACACTGAACAGTTCCTTTGCCCTTGAGGCTGAAGAGAAGGGTTTCATGAGAATCCATCGGTCATTCCCAGGGCTGCTTTTTAACTCTTCTCTTTGTGCCCCTGTGATGCTCCTGACTAGTTTAGTACTTGCAGAAGTGTAATTTGTGGGCAGTGAATAGTTATCCACAGATTCACTCTCTTTAATTGGCCAAGCATGAGTGATGAAGGCTAAATATGCTTAGTCATCTGAGTATGCATACAATTCAAAATATTGTGGCAACACTTGTTGCCGCAAAAATAGATCAGGTGATTTGTGTAGGTGTGCTTGGGTGTGCCCAGGAGTGGGTCAGGTTCTTAATTATGTCAAAGGTAAATGTGTAGGCACCAAATACAATCCGGTTTTTAAACAGAATCCTTTGCAAAGGAGTAGGTGGTACCTTGCAAATCATGCTTATCGTTGAAAGTGACTCCCTTTCCTTCCATATGCCCAACTGGCAAGGTGGCTACTGCTGAGGGAGGGCTAGTCCTGTATGAGGGGCACGTTTGGAAACAATCAGTCCGTAATGGTTTCTTTCTTTTATATTTCACATACCAAATCCACTTAGGTCATGAAGAGCACCGCCATGATTTAGGTCAGCTCCCACGTGAAGTGTTTGTTTTGTTAGGAGCCCGTGGCTTCCAGCTGTAGGTCTCTATGGAACAAGATTGTATTTGCATGATTGTGTGACCTGGTTTGGTCTGGAGATACCAAACTGTATTTGATAGTTGACTGCCTACTTAACCTTGGGAGTATGACTTCCTCTTATGCATGGAAAATCATCATTGGGGTTAGGAACAGTGCCCCAGACGGTGGGTGGCTGGTTTTGTTAGCTGAAGTACACAGTCGCATGAGTGTGGTCCAAAATAATATGTGTCAGTGGTTACACGTAGGGCTGCTAACTGCAAGGTCAGCAGTTCAAAACCATCAGATGCTCCTCAGAAGAAAGACAGGCATTCTACTCCCATCAAGAGTTAACAGTCTGGGCAACCCACAAGGTCAGTTCTGCCCTGTCCTGTAGGGTCACCATGAGTCAGTAATAATGGGACGCAGGAGTCTCTGGGGGGTGTAAACTATTAAACATGCTTGGCTTCCAACTGAAAGGTTGTAGGAGAAAGCTCTACCAGAAGTGCTTGGGGACCGAATTCTGAAATTTTATGGAGCACAAAGCTATGGCTGCCGGAGAGGTTAGGAGTGGGACCAGAGAAACAAATGCAGAAAAGAAGTTCAAACATACAAAGCAAACGAGAACTGTCAGCACAGGGTGAGAGTGCACTGCTGTTTATGTGGCTGGGTAGCCTGTACATCCCTAGGTGATCAAATGTGACTAAGAAAATTTACTAGGTCATGGCATGGAGGCAGGGGCCCTAGTGGCCCAGTGGTTACAGGTTGGACTAACTGCAAGGTTAGCAGTTCGAAACCATCAGTCACTCTGAGGGGGAAAGACAGGACTTCTCTACTCCCACAGAGTTATGGTCTCAGAAACTCACAGGGACAGTTCTACCCTGTCCCATAGGGACCCGATGAGTTGGTATGCACTCCATGGCTGTGAGAGTTGTGAACAGAAAGACAGGGAAGGGTTTTTGAAACTTAAAAAAACACCTTATTTTAAAAGCAACCAAGATGATCAAATACTGAGCAAGAAGATGTGAAAACAGAGTAAGAAGATCCGCAAGACCACAAGGAGGTTGAGTTTTTCTCCCGAGACAAATCAGCCCAGTGATTGATACCTCTGGGCGCTGTGGTTGAGCCTGCCTGCTGTCCGTGACCTGAGCGCTTGGGCCTGTACCTGTGTGTTATTTAGCTGTGTGTCAGGAAGAATGACACAGGAGCCTGGAGTCATGTCCCTGATCAGAGCCAGTCTGAGATAAAAGGGTGCAGCAGGCAAGATTGGCTTTTGTCACTCCACGCTTCGTGGTGTCTTTTCCTTACATACAGGAGCTCTGGTGGCAAAGCGGGTTCTCAATTGGAATGCTAATCTCAGGGTCAGCAGTTTGAAACCACCAGCCACTCTGAGGGAAAAAGATGAGGCTTTCTACTCTCGTAAAGAGTTATTGTCACAGAAACTCCCAGGGGCCGTTCCATAGGATCGCTATGGGTCTGAATCAATGGCAGGGAGTTTTCTGACATGAAGATCTAACTAGAGCTGCCCCCTGTTCAGTGCTTTCCTCTTCCCATCCACCGGCCTATCAAACAGTTTCTCTTCCGGGCTGCATTTGCTGCTCACTGTTTCCCTGCTTACAAAGTGGCCCTCCTATCATTTACCAAAACGCTTGTTCCGAGGTAGAAAATCCATCGATAAAGTACATGTGATGGAAACTCATCCATTCATTCGCTGCCTGTATTCGAGCATCCGCAGTGTGCCAGGTGCCTATTCTGAGTCCCGAGGACTGTCTGTACCCTTCATGCACATACTGCCTGCCTAGTGAATGCAGGAGGTGGTTAGACACTTGCCCAAGTATAAAACTATGCCCTGATTGCCATGTGAATGCCCAGACAAGATGCCTTACACAGCCCGGAGCTTGGGCTGGGGAGACTGTCTGCAGAGGCTTTTAAGGGGCTGCCTGAGCTGAGGCTTGAAGCATTGTGGAGAGTGAAGAACGTTCCAGATAAAGGGGATAATGGCATGGGCAAAGGCCCGGGGGCAGAGTGAGTATGGCGTGTCCCGGGAAACCAACAACCACAGGACCAGAACTGTAATTAAATAGGGCGGAGGGCCAGGAAGGACACAAATAGCCTAAAGCGCAGGCATGTTGGATGGTGGTCTCTCTGTGCACATGCATGTTTGTGCAGTCTTCCTGGAAATATTATCTGTTACTAAAGATTTCCATCAACACCCAGCAAGACCTGGAGAAGAACCTTGAGGCTAGGATGCTGATCTATGGATTTGCTTTGTAGGAAAGAGCCAGTGATTTATCTCCTGGCCTGCTTCATGACCTGATCTGGGGACAAAGTATCTCAGTACCAAAGTCCCAAATCCTGCACCCTCTCATGGGTGTATGAGAAGCCGATGGGCCCCAGGCTAGGGCCTATTTGTGAATACGGAATGCTGTTTTTCAACAGCTTGTCTTGAAGCCGTAGCTTCTTAGGGCTGAAGAGGCTTTAAAGGTTCTTGAATCCAGCCTCTGTCTGAGGACTCACACCATTCATCCTCCCCAGGGACTGGTGGAGGCTTTTGTTCTGTGCTTGAACACCTCCTGTGATGAGGAACTCCTTCCAGTTCTGTGTGTCAGAGAGCTCTTCTTTGCACGGCACTAAATGTGCCTTCGGTTCTTCTTAGTGCTGGCTCAACTTGCGAGCCATCAAAGGTGTATACTGTACATATATATACACTGTAGCCCACCATCCAGGATAAAGTGCAGGTCTCTGCTCTTGCAGCCCCCTAGGAGGGTTCCGTCACCCCCTGGGGTCTTAGCCTCAAGTGGTCTCGCCCACTTTGGGAAACACTGTGGTAGACAATGGATAGTAGTTCCAACTGCAGGCCTGTGAGTTAAAGGGACTCGGTATATGTCTCAGCTTTGAAAGGGATTAACTGGGTGACCACGGCTGGTTAGTTCACTGTGCGCCATGTCTCCGTTTACTGCTCTACCAAATGAGTACCCTCCTGTCTTGTACTCTGTAGGAACCAATAGTGCATGCTCAGGACTTGTGTACACACAGAGCTTCCTGAGTGTGAGCTCTCACATGGGAGTTACGTACAGTGGGCACCTCCCTCCCTTCTTGGGCAGCTTTCCCACTGTTTAACAAAAGCTCAGGCTCCCAAGATCGTCCCTCTTCCTTCACAAGTGTCCTCATTGTGTCTGCGCCTCTCCTTGCAAAGGTAACTCCCCTCCGAGCGTAGGCCCGGACCTGGGCACAGGTCTTGGCCAACACATTTGTTGTGTGACAAGCAGAGTAGGGCGGGCCAGTCTTGCCTTTGCTCTAGTTACTTTACTGCTTTTAATGAAGCCCATGTTCCCTTCCATTCCATACCCCCCACCCCCACCCCACCCCTCCCAGCATACAGGCCGCTTAGCGTGGGTCTTCTTACGTACAGCGTTTTTCTCAGGTGCTGCTCCCAGACCCAGCGTTGCTTAGTGGAGAAAGCCCTCTAGATGAGGATATAGAAAATATGCTTACATCTGCACCGAAAGGTGACTTGCAGACCTTGAAAAAGCTGGTGGGGATAATCAGTGGAGTATCCCATAGGATTGTTTAGCTGGGTCCCTTGAGAGAAGCAAAAAAAAAGGATCCCACCCCCAAAGAGGAAGAGGATCGAGGGAGGGGATCCCAGAGAGTCAGGAGGGAATCCAGGGCCAGGGGCAACACCAACCAGGCTAGGGGAAGAACCAGTATGTCTGTGCTGCATACTGATTTACACATCCCACTGAATTTGCATATCCCTCTGTCAACAAAGAGCCTTGGGGAACTTGCAAGGCCTTCCAAAGGAGGTCTTTCCACGGAGGGAGGCTGTGAAAAGGTGTCTAAGGAAATGCCGGGGTTTGAGCTCAGTCGGGAAAGGCTAAGTATGCAGGGTATGTCGGGGAAATGCTTGTTGCCAAGTCCCATCAAATCCAGCACAACTCAGTAACCTAGGAAGACAGGATCCCGGGTGGTCGTTTATGCTGTGGGCCGCTCATCAGATGGTCAGCAGTTGGAACCCAGCAGCCGCTCCACTGAAGAAAGATGAAGCCATCCCCTTCCAGAAAGCTCCACAGCCTCAGGAATCAGCGCGAGCAGTTCTAACTCTGCCCTCTAAAGTCACCACAGTTGGTATTGGCTGGTTTCATTTGCACCTTAGAGAAAGGGTAGAACTGCTGCCCCACACTGTTTAAAAGGTTGAAATCTTTCTGGGAGTGGGTCATCAGGTCTTTTCTTCCTATCAAGTGGCCGGTGGGTTGGAACTTCCGACCTTTTAGTGAGCAGGCAAATGCTCCACCATCATGCCACCAGGACTCTTTCGGTGCCATATATATGTAGGTTTTAAAATAACTGGGTTTTGATTCTGGCTCAGCTTTACTTGACAGCTACCTGGAAGAGAAGAGGCTCTCACCCAAAGCAGAGAGGTACAGCTATGGGGTCAGAATCCAGAGCTGTCAGCAGCAAGTTGCTTAACCTCTTGAGGCCATTTGTCTCATCTGTAGAAGGGACAGACAATAGCACCTGCCCTCATCGGATTGCTGTGAGGCTTTAATGAGAAAATGCGCTCATGTCCCTTTACCACAGTGCCTGGCCTGTGATTAGTCCTCCACCCAGGACGGCTGGAGTTATTCCTTGATGTCCTCCTGGCTAGATCTAGAGGACAGCGGGTCAATTAGGACCCAAACTGAGGTCTGACATGAGTAAAAAGGTTCGTTAAGACACCGGAGTAGAGGGGATGGTGGAATTGTGTCTGTAAATATTTAATAATAAGAGGAAGCCATCACTAGTGCAGTTGAGTGCAGCGATGAGGGCTTTGTTGAAATCTGGAAACAGACTCCATCCATGGGGGTTTTAGCCTGATGCAAAAAAGACGCCCCCAGCTAGTAGAGACGATGCAGTTCTTCAAAGGAGGTCGTATGTCAGACAAGGTGAGCCCATGGTCCCTGAACTGATTCCTTCTCGGGCCCCACGCTGAGGGCGCGCTCAGTAAATATTTAATGTCTTAACTTGGTGTCTTTACCCTTATTTATAAATGTCAGATTAGTCTCTGCTTCGGTCTCTGACTAACAGTGGGCACCTCTGTCTGCAGACGTGCAACTAAAATTAGCTGGAAAAGAGACGGGTGAATAACCCAGCCGGTTCCTCGGAGCTGCAGCCAGCCGGAAGAGTCTGATGCACCAGTGTATGAGTCAGTGCTCACTCCTCTCCCGGGCACTGGGCTCAGGGGGTTGTCATGTTTCCTCCTGAGCTGCTTCTGTCATTCAACTGGCATGATGCCACTTGGGTGATTTCATAAGCCCTGGTACAATCCAAAGGCAGACCAGAGTACTAATTACAGTCAGGGAAAACTGGATTTTCGAGACTCTCGAAAGAAGAGCTTTTGCTTTGGTTTAGTCCCGGGCTTGAAATCATAGATCCCGTGGGGGGGCTACCCTACCACGCAGGGGGCCCCGGCTGGTGCAGTCAAATGGTTCAGCTTTTGGCTGCTGTCTGGCCGGCAGTGTGAACCCACCGGAGGTGCTGCCAAAGAAAGGCCTGGCAACCTATTTCTGAAAGGCCACCGCCATGCCCCTACTACCCCCCTCCCCTAGCCCTGGAGCCTGGTTCTACCCTGAGACATGGGGTCGCCATGAGTTGGGAATCAACTGTACCACAACTGGTTTACCCCGTCTCGCAGCTGCTGGCTGGCTCGTGAACACCAAGGCCTTGTTCCTGGCGGGCTCCTGAGCACAATGCCCAGCACGCATTATGCACCTCGTAGCTATCAAATGAGCCAGTGGATGAAAGACAGTCACCATGCCCTTGCTCCATCTGTGCAGCATTGTCAGCTCATCACTCGGCATACCACGCTGGGTTCCACCATCGCCGGCTCCTATGCAAGCTGGGTCGGCATCATGTGCGAGTCAGAGCTATGCGGCCGGGCTGGTTAGCGCATTTCAGTTAGAAACCAGGCAACCTGCAGGCACAGCCTATGGTTACACCATCTTTATTTTTAGCCTTGGCTCACAGCTGTCCTCCTCCTCAGATAAATAACTTCTTAAAAGTCCGATCAAGCAATTAATTTCTCACGGGGAGATGGACATACGATCGGGCCTGACCATGGATCTGTTTCTGTTACGTGCTTTCTTGGGCTTGCTGATGTTCTAAACAGAGGCCCGGTAGGCTGTAGGAGGAGGGATTCTGATTGTGCAGTGGATAAAGCACTCAAGAGAACAATGTACCGTGCACTTCCTTCTGTAAAGATGATAGCGTTGGAAATCCTTTGGGGGGCAGTTCTGCTGTGTCTTGTGGGGTCTCTCTGAGTCAGAACGGACTCCGCCATCAGGGAGACTAGTCTTTATTTATGTTTTGGAAGTGTGTTACGACAACACGTGGTGGCGCGTCTTTTAAGTGCTGCAGGCAGAAATGCTCTAACATAAGTCGTTCCCAGTGTGTGGCCCTCGGAAAATGACAAATCTGGTGCGATACTCACTCCCCACCCCCTTTTTACTTGCTTGTAGGTCATCACCCCCCAGAATGGGCGCTATCAAATAGACTCCGATGTGCTTCTCATCCCTTGGAAGCTGACTTACAGGAACATTGGCTCTGATTTCATTCCTCGGGGTGCCTTTGGAAAAGTGTACCTCGCACAAGATATCAAGACCAAGAAAAGGATGGCGTGTAAGCTGGTGAGTGCTTGATAGATGGGCGGTGTGCCTTGCATGATTGACATGATGGCCTTCCCATGGGGACATTGCTTCCAGGTGGCTGTCCTCTCGGTGGAGCCCATCTGGGAGGACTCTGTACCAAGCAGCTGTTCCCATGGATGTCCTTGCTACTTACTGTCCATGGGCCCCCGCCCTCTTCTCAGCCACGACACCAGAGGACCTGATTGGTACTTGGCTACCACTCCTGAACATTGTGATCAAAGTGTCTGTGGAAGAGTCCTGATCCAACGGGCAGAAATGCAGAACCAAATTTCCAGTGGTCACATCCTCCTAACCTCGGAGGCTAGATGAACCCCTGGAGCTATTCCCCTGAGATAGCCTGTAAACCTCAAACTAACACCATGCCCTGAAGTCTGACCCCAAGCGATGGATTAGCAGAACTTGGAAAATAAAGGTCTGCCTGGAGCCTTAGGGTCTTCTAAGAACTATGTCTCTGGGGTTCAGTTGGCAGCAACACTTTGAAAGATTCGGGTAGAACCGTAAAGGGCACTGAGTTTGTTTGAATGAGGGAGGACCCCTCGGGAAAGGAGGGCGAGACTGGGAGGGTGGTTGTACCGCTCACAGAACATACTCGGTTTCGCGGAACGATACATGTAGAGACCGCTGAACCTGTGTGCGTTTTGCTACGTACATTCTTAACAACCACGAAAGAAATTTAAAGAAGAAGAAAAAGATGTACCTTTGGCACAGCTCAACTCGGCCCCCCAGGGCTGCTGTGCGCTGGCCTTGCCTTGATGGCAGTGAGTGGCTTTGGGCTGTACTGCAGTGTTCATAGTAGCACCATTTGTAATCACCCCCGACGGGGAGCTCCCCATCTGCTGAGCAATGACATGCTTAGATGATGGAACACAGTCCAGAAGAGAGGATGACCTACATGATGACGCTCATAACCATGATGATGAACCCTAAAACCAAACACAGAAGGAGAACCACTGTAGGATTTCATATTTATAAAGTGCAGGCGCAGGCCAGGCAGGCCAGGCTAGTGGAAGTCAGGGTGGCAGGGCGTCCTGGGTGGCAGTGACCGGACAAGACCCAGAGGTCTGAGCAGGTGTATATCCCTGAGGTCCCTTGATACTCATTGGAGTATCACGCTGACCAAGTTTACACTTTCATGTGCACCTGCTTTGTTAAATGAAACATTTTAAATAAAAATAAACCCACTGCTGATTTAAGAAAAAAAAATAGCACTGTCGAAGATCTTGCTTCACTCACTCGCTCATTGTCTTTAAAAGAGTCACAACATGTGGGTTTCACCAACTCGTTCCTAAAAATACTTGCTAGAGTACCTGTAGTTAAAAAAGCAGTGCCATTTCAGTGAGCCACGTGAAGCTGGCCATGAGAGGATATGTGTTTAAAAAAAGTTTAAAAAAAGTTTTAAAAAATCAAGAGCCTAACTCCTGTTTTTTGTTTGTGTTTCATTTTTTACACACACACCCCTCCCCACAAAAACTCTGAAAAGTAGCTTCGTGTCCTTATTTTCCTTATAGTATTTATATTCAATTTTGGGGGAAATGTATTAAAATAAAGTCTATCTCCTTTGCTGTGCGAAATCATGTAGAAAGCCTTCATAACTTACAATCCTACAAGATGCTCAATTATAAGGGTTTACTACATTTCACTTCTTTACGAGATAAGGTCCATCCAGCCATCGCTGGTGATGTGCTAACACAAGGACATTTTTGCTTAACTGGGTATATTCATGGATCAGACCAGTGGTTCTCAACCTTCCTGATGCCTGACCATTCAGTGACCGTGCTGACCTTAGATGCGTCACATAGTGGGATCACACAATATCTGCCCTTTTGTGTGTGGCGTGTTCCTCTGAGCATGTTTGTCAAGTTCACCCGAGTGGTAGCACATAACAATTCCTCTTTAGGGCGGAATGCTACTCTGCTACTCAGTTGTTGCATGGACCACATATTGTTTGTCCATTGATCTGCTGATAGGTGTATTTAATTTTCAAGCCAGAATTTTTTTTTCTTCCAATGAATGAAAAGCATCTAGATTCTAGATGATTAAAACCCCGGAACTGGTTCAGAAGGATGTGGGGAAACCCATGTGAAATTGTTTGCTCCAGATTAGTGAGGGAGCACAAGTAAGCTCTTGCTTCCCTTGCTTACTGAGCCCTCCAGCCTTTGATTCTGTAGGAAGGTGCTGGGCTGTGTGTGTGTGTGTGTGTGTGTGTGTGTTGGTGTCGGGGGCAGATGCCAAGCTGTCAGGCATACCTAAACACTGAATCTTTGGTGTGGTGAAATTGCTCACTGCAGATTAGTCAGGAAGCACAAGAAAACCCCTGCTTACCTTGCTTACTAGGTCATATCACAGTGACTACCATTAATGATTGCCTATGTGTCCTTCACAAATTTTCAATGTATATATGTGTTCCTGAAGTTTTAGTTCCTTTTAGTTTTTTTAAGTGTGACCCTGTGCCTGTTGCTTTTTCCCCCTGTCCCTGCTCTGGGGACCTTGCCGTATCCATGTGCACGTGAAGGTCTACTTCCGCCTGGTATTCCAGGGACCAAAAGCAAGTCCTTACTTTAAACGCATGGGGAGCGTGGTAGCTGTGGAACCCAAGACTTTATACTGCAAGTGGAAGGATTAAAAACAGAAACGTCAGCTCTACAGCTAGAAGAAACTCCTCTCTTTTGGGTTCTATCCTGAGCCATTTGAAAAGCTGGGTTGGATTTTTTTTTTTTTTTTGGAACCATGAAAAGAGGCTTTTATAGTTTTCTGTTTTCTGTCCTGATTGTCGATTGTATGCCTTATAGCGGACATGATGTGAAGACAAGTGTGAGTTGAACATTTAAAAAAAGTCTGCAGTACAGTTTCATGCAGCTCAGGGTCTCCTGAGCGGACTGACGTGCTTTCTGATGTGTGGGTTGATCTACGTGAGGTATTTTTTCGTTATCTTGAGGTTTTCTAGAATCTTACGTGTGTGTTTCCGCTCTAGATCCCAGTAGATCAGTTTAAGCCTTCAGATGTTGAGATCCAAGCTTGCTTCCGGCACGAGAACATCGCTGAGCTCTACGGCGCAGTCCTCTGGGGGGACACCGTCCACCTCTTCATGGAAGCGGGCGAGGGCGGGTCCGTTCTGGAGAAGCTGGAGAGCTGCGGACCGATGAGGGAATTTGAAATTATTTGGGTGACCAAGCATGTCCTCAAAGGACTTGATTTTCTACACTCCAAGAAAGTGATTCATCATGATATTAAACGTGAGTTCTCTTTGGCTACACACCTTCTGGGTGTCAAGAAATTAGTTAGGTGGGAGGAACATGGGCTGAGACAGGAGGCTGAGGGGTGACCACTCCTGTGGTCGAAGTGCCACTTCCTCCTCTGGGCTCTGGAAACAAAATTACAAATCAAGATGTGTCTCTAGAGCTTGCAAGGCATAAGGAGGGTGACGACCCACTCGTCAAATAAGATAAAACCCTTGATGTGTTCAGTACTGCCTGTGTCCTTGTTAAGACTGCTTTTAAAACTAATTTTGCTTAAAACAATGTATGAACACACCCAGTCACGTCACAAAATGTTTTGTTTTGTTTTTAATTTTGAAGGGCAATTTGACAAGTGCCCATTAAACAAGCCTTCATTAACTGCATTCTAGGAATAACCTATGATGAGGAAATAGGCAAGAGAGGCCCAGTATAAATCCCAATTGATTCAGCTAAATTAGGCCAGAGAGACTTTTACCTAAAACACAAACAGACATCTGTTGTTTTCAGAAGAGTGGCTTAATACTAGTATGATGATAAGAATGCGAACCTCGAGCTTTTGAACTTTATTATTGGTCACCAACCTTGTAAGGAGCCCGGGTGGTGTAGTGAGTTACGTGTTGAGCTGCTAGCCACAAGGTCAGTGGTTCAAAGCCACCTGCTGCTCCACCAGAGAAAGATGAGCCTGTAGAGATTTACAGCCTCCGAACCCCTAGGAAGCAGTTCTTCTCTGCCTTATGGGGTCACTATGAGTCAGAATCAACTCTTCTGGCAGTTGGCTGGGTTGTTTGTGTGCGAGCATACTCCGCATTCTTGAGAGATATGAACTGATTTTCACTGGGACTGGAGCCACGGCCCACTGCCTTCTTTGGCGTGTGATGCACTCCGCTCAACTGGAAAAGCACATCCAGTCACTTCTGATTCAGAATGATGTTTCCCGCCTACTTATGTCTGTTTACAGGGTCAGAGAAACGTAAAACCTTTCCTTCTTCTTACAGCTAGCAACATTGTTTTCATGTCTACCAAAGCTGTCTTGGTGGACTTCGGCCTAAGTGTGCAGATGACTGAAGATACCTATTTTCCTAAGGACCTCCGAGGGACTGAGGTAATTATATTGACATGAAAGTGGTTAATAGCTTAGTAAGAATTTTTTTTTTTTAGAAAGAGGCCCAGAATGATGTGGGTAAGAAGGTTAAAACTGTTGCCATAAATCAGGGTTGTCACTGTCATCTTTAACAAACCATTGGTATTGTGCCAAATCCTGTTTTAGCAATTTGAGTACATTATATGGGGCGGGGGTGGGGAGGGTGTCTTCCAATAGTTCATGGGACATTTCTGTTACCTTATAATTCTCATTTTACATGAACCTTTGAAGCCCCTTCCTATTATTTAATTCCCAGAATTACCCTGTATGGATTCATATTATTACTGTGAGCCACTACTATTATTTATATTGGACAACTGAAGAAATGAGCTTGGGAAGGTTAAAATTAAGTGCCCGACATTAACTGAAGTAGAGACACATCTGGCACTTGAACCCCAGTTTTTTCTGAGCCTAAGGTCTTACTTACGTTTGGCTGCCATGCAACTTTTCAATGTAGCTCAGCCATTAGAGTAGATTGCTAACAAAACAAATGCTACCCAGTTTTGGTCCTGTTACACCCTTGAGTGTCATGGCCATTATATATGTGTATGTGTGTGTGTATATATATCTATATTTCTCTCTCTATATATATATACACACACATACATATATATATTTCTCTATATACACACACACACACACACACACACATATATATACCTAGACCTACTGCAATTAACTTCAAGTACCGAGTATTAACTAGACGTGAACAAATTAACATACTTAGCTCCTTAGTGAAGACCAAACAAACTAACAAAATTGCCCCTGATCTACCTGAGATTCTGAGAAATGCATCCTTGGGCTTTCATATAATCTGTTCAAGGTAGCCCTCACCTTCCTTGACCTGCTGGTGGCTACCTCTAGCTCATATTTATTGCACACCTGCAGTGTAGCAGGTCTGATGTGGATAAGACTCTGGGCAGACCTAGCCAGGAAGGGGTCTCATTGGTCCTTTAGAGGCCCTGTTGTTAATTTCCTGAAACGACGAGCCTCTCAGCTGCTCAGGGCCCAGCAGGTTAGGATGAGGTGTGATGCACATGGGAGAGTAGAGCCCTGTGCTGTCAACTGCCTTCTACCTCACAGCGAGCCTACAGGGCACCGTAGAACTGCCCCTTAGGGTTTCTGAGGCTCTGAGTTTTTATGGAAACAGATGGCCTCATTTTACTCCCTCAGAGTGGCTGGTGGGTTCAAACTGCCCAGCCTCTAACCTCCTGGGAAGGGAGATAGATATCAAAAGAGCTTTAATGCCTCTCTTGGATGTTCTTTGCCCTCTTTGGTGGCTGTGCTGTGGGGAATAAAAAGTGTACTTGGCTGCACCTTTTGCCTCAAGAGTACCAGGTCAGTCTTGGAGTTCAACCAAATCCTAGCGGCTAGCTAGTGTCACTCGTGTGTACAGAGCTAGCTTGTGTGTTGTGCTGAAGTGCGCTGACGTGAGAAAGACAATACCTTCATTTCAAAGCAGGATTCTGTAAGCCTTGTCTTAACTGTCAAAGGAGAGACGCCTTCAGGCATGTTTACTAATGTTACTTCAAAATTCTTCCGGGAAATACTCGGAGAGGATTTTTTATAGTCTTCTTTGGGCAGAATCATATTCAGATGAGAAGACTGTAAAGTTTTTCTTTTTATTTTTATCTTAAAAGAATGCTGTAGTCTCCAGGTTTTAAGCATACCTCCCCCCAAAGCAGAGAATCTAATAAGATTTAATACTTAGTACATGTTTTCCTTGGAAATGGTTTCAGCATATTTTGGCACCAGTGAGGAGTTTAGCTATGTGACATTCCACCCTCTTTCCTGGAGCCAGTTTGAGAAACAAACTGTTTATGGTAATAAAGATGGGAAATACCTTTCTCTTCCTGGCAGCATGATCAAATTGGACATTTTGCAATGCTGGAGAAAGGCACGTCCTTTCTGGGCTGCCTGAGCAGAAAGAGAACGCGTGCTTGGGTGTGAAATGCTAACATCGTGCTCATTCCCAAGTAGCACGCAGAACAAGTGATTTTCAGCAGATGTAAACTGTTTGCTATGAACAGCCGAGCTCCCTTCACTTCCCCGCCAGGCTTGACTCTCTTCTCACCAGTCGCAGCAAGGTGGGGAAGCCACCCAGGAGCCTTGCAAACATCTGTTTTTATTCCTGGTGCTTAAAACCAACAAGATTGAGGTGAGTTGATCGGATCCATGAGGGTATAACCCCACCGGATGGAACTGAACAACTGAACTGTACGGGAAGGGAAGGGACTTATTGGAATGAGTAAGATATGTCAAGAAAAAGATTTAGTTAAAAAAATTTATTTAAAACCACCCAACAACATTAAACAAAATCCTGCTTTGCAAATTTGTTTTGCATTACGGCCTGCCCTCTTGGCTACTGCACCGTCGTTGGTGAGTTCTGATCCTGGCAGTGTGCTTACACAGGCTTACGTGGACCCAGCCAGACAGCTCGTCCTTGTTCTGGATCCCTGTCGCAGCCTGCGCAGTCAGGACATTCTGTCAGGAGCATTTGCACCAGGGGGCTTCAGACAGTATGGAAAAACAGAACGAGAAGATAACAGATAACGGCCTTTCCCCCCACGAACATTTTGAAGCCCCTCAGACCTGCCAGAGTAAATCTATAGACTTTAAAGTTCTCAGGGCACATAGAATAAGCAGTGAATGGCAATAGCCAGTTAGAACTATGGTTTTTAAAAAGCGTGGCCATTTTTAAGATGGTCTTATTTTCCTCCGGACCTGTTTGATCTTTCTTTACATACATTTACATGCATGGTCTCTTGCACACACACATGCACGCACACAGGCACAGTTCCTTCCCTTTTCTAGTAAACACAGTGGGAGACACAGGTCTGGGCTCCAAGGCAGGTGTCGGTTCCTGTGTCCGTGTGTGTGTGTGTGTGTGTGTGTGTGTGTCAGAGCACAGCATTCTCCGAGAGCCTCCGCCCTTCCGGCAGTCCTCGCTCAGGCCTGCAGCCAGGCGGGCTGCTCAGTCCCCAGACAACGTGCCCTGCTGCTGTTGAGCTTGAGGAAGCAGCAGCTCAGGGTGACTGCCTGCCTGAAGGAAAGCCACCAACCGATTGGACAGGGGCTGCCACTCCCAGTGCTACGCGAGTGTGCAGTCTCATGACCCCGACCCCCAGCACTACCTCTGTGCAGGCGCTGCTGCCCATGACACCCGCCGTAGAAACCTGGTCTGACCCTGTTCTGCTGGCTGTGGGAGGAATAGGCTTTCTCATTAGACCCTGAGAACCGGTGCTAATAACACCGGCTGCGTTTATTTTTTAAACGTGGATTGCATTTAGTTAGGTTTTTTTTTCCCCCTGCAAGGAAAGTTTGAGAAGAAGTAATCAGAGAGAGAAAGAGAGAGTGAATGAGCTTGTGCAAGCACACACACACACACACACACACACACACACACACACATACACACACACAACCACGAGCCAGACAGGAAGTGTGCTGTAGGAACGAGCTGGCAGGGTAAGGATGAGGAAACTGGGCAATTTCCCCACTTTATACAAGCCAGTTGTTCACTTATTTGCTCTAAGTGTATTCTGGGAACAGTAGCACCCCTCCCTCCAAACTCAAATGACACCACTTGAATATGTCTTAAAGCCGCACAGTGGCAATTAGTCTTGACTACCACATTGTCCCATTGGTCCCCCTCTCGGTGTCTTCTCGCTCTCCCAATTTCAAGTTAGAAACAAACACATGTGAGAGAGCCGGTGAAATCTAAGCTCACTCGTTCAGCATCTCCCAAGGAAACAAGCTCTTGCACAATTATGAGGCGGTACGTGTGTAATATTTAATCCCCAAGCAACAGGGCAGGTAGAAATGTAGTAGTTCTTAGAGAAATAACTACAATCACTTTTGCAACCTTATGCTTTATTCCATAAATTCTTCTCTTGGTGGTGGTATCCTGGAGACCAATGTTTCCCCAAAGTGGGTGATACCGTCGCATGGCGGTGGGGGTGGGGGTGGGGGCGCGCTGGAGCCATCTAGGGGGGCCACTTTATCCTGCATTGTGGGTGACAGTACAGATGTGAGTTGTGGTGCAAGGGGCACTGAATGGTTCTGTTTCTGAAAACAGTGGCCGTAGGCCCAATACGTTTGGGACCCCTATGCTGTAGACCTTCTCTTACTGAGGAGAGAGGTCTAGAAATCTATAGGCAAGGTTAGTGTAAAATATTTGCGCTGCGTACGTTTAAGTGGGAAAAGAATAGGCATTTCTATTGACAAAATAATGACCTCAGGTCAGTGCTGTAGAGAACTTGGATGAGGGGGGTTTTCAGGGGTTCTTCATTCCAGGCCCCCGTATGGCCTGAGGAGCCCTGTGTGCAGGTTCTGGCCAAAGGTGTTCTTTGCCAGGCTGCTCTGATGCCTGCAGCCAGAGCCGCTTGGCTTCCGGATAATGTCTGCATTGTTCTCCGTAGCTGAGGGGGACCAGGCCTGCACATTCTCTGCCAAGGGTGATAAAGTTTGCAGTAAAGATGATCTGAGCAGTGAGCCAGGTTCCCTCACTGGAGAGGAAATGGAAACAAGAGACAAAGGAAGAGATCCAGCCTTAACTTTTCCCTGTGTTTTTCAGATTTACATGAGCCCAGAGGTGATTCTGTGCCGGGGCCACTCCACCAAAGCCGATATCTACAGCCTGGGGGCCATGCTCATCCACATGCAGACGGGGACCCCGCCCTGGGTGAAGCGCTACCCTCGCTCAGCCTACCCCTCCTACCTGTACATTGTAAGTGGGGGCAAAACTAAACCCGGGGACAGGGGATGATCCTTGCCGGGCTTAGGCCCTCTTACACCTCCTCTGCCATCCACACCTGAATGGGATGAGGGTGGCATATGGATCCGGGAGAAGCCACCACATGTTCTTCCCAGGTGGAAGGGGAGCCCCGTTCTTACAAAGAAAGCATTGCTATTTCAGTGGGAGTGCAATTTAAATGTGCATGAGGCCTAAATGAAGAAGCGTTGTTCCACACGGCCACTAGCCAGTTGCTGGGCAGTAGACCCCGAAGCATGGCGACCCTGTGTGTGTCAGAGTAACGGGGCTCTGTGGGGTTTTCAGTGCCGATTTTTCAGGAGTATATGCCCAGGCCTTTCTGCTGAGACGCCTGGGGTAGACTTGAAGTTGCATCCTGTTAATTTTCTGCTCATTATGTGAACTGTTTGCATGACCTATAATGTGTATAGGTATAGGTATATAATGCCATTTGGGACCATCAGAATAGCATTGAACTTTGGAGCCAAGGAATTTATATATGTTCTTTGAGCGCTTTCCAAAAAGAATATCAGGTTATTGATCCCCTTAGAGAGAGCGTGCCACTCCTACTTTACTGTTGAGAAATTCCAGAACAGACATTTCTCCACTGTTGCCTGGTGGCCTTTGCAAGGGTCACTATGAATACACCCAAAATTTGCTGCCTTTCAGTTGATGCTACCTCCATAGGATGGTAGAACTGCCTCTGCCTCCTCTTTCTTCCAAGGAGTGGCTAGTGGCCTCAAACTGCTAACCATGTGGTTAGCCCCTGTAGTGCGTATCTAACCCACTATGCCACCAGACTCACCTCTATTTTTATGTATTCATTTGTGAGCCCATAAATATATAACAATGGAACCCAGCATGACTTATTCAGGCCTATTGGTGGTAGTGTCCTTGAGCGAATTCTCACCCAGAGGCGCCACGTGAGCCTTCCCTTGCTGCAGAGAATTTCCAGGGCCGAGACTTTGGGGAAGACCCAGCTTCTGAGGCACCTAGGAGCATGTGCAAGGTGCCTACGTGGTGGGTTCAAGTTTTGCCTAATAGTCCAGTGCTTAAGCATCTGGCTCCCTCTGCTATCTAATAAGTATCTAAGCCTAGCCCGTGTATTCAGTATCTGAGCTGGTGGGATCCCAGTTCCTTTGCATCGTGTGGTTCCTGGCGGGGGATACGTCCACACCACTGGCATTAAGAGAGCTGGTCTGTTGACAGATCCACAAGCAGGCGCCTCCGCTGGAAGACATCGCTGAAGACTGCAGTCCCGGCATGAGGGAGCTGATTCAGGCGGCCCTGGAGAGAAACCCCAACCACAGACCCCGGGCCGCAGATCTGCTCAAGCACGAAGCCCTGAACCCCCCCAGGGAGGACCAGCCGCGCTGCCAGAGTCTGGACTCGGCTCTGTTCGAGCGCAAGAGGCTGCTGAGCCGGAAGGAGCTGGAGCTTCCCGAAAACATTGCTGGTAAGTACACTCCGGGTGGGCATCGCCCGGCTCCCCTTCTTTCTCTGGGACTTCGGGAGTCTGCGAGGTTTGCAAAGGGAATTCGCAGAAAAAGGACAAAGGGGGTTTCTTGAGCACTGTCAGCTGTTTTGAGACATTTTGGCCCCCACAAAAAGCATTTAAAAAATATCTAACTATCGGCCAGTTTCCCAGCCGATGGTAGCAAGTTTCAGGGCCGCATATTAAGTGGATGTGGTGGCTGGCTTTGGCGCAGCAGAGACAGCATCCTGGTTTTAAAAACCAGCCTCCTGACAGGTTCCCACTTTTTGTTGTAAATACCACAGCGCGCTTCTGCCTAGCTAAAACGTTTTGATTCAAGTCAGCCCGGGTTTCTGCCTACCTCCTCCGGGAATCTCTGCCAAAGGTGCGGCTTCCCGGTTGAGGGGACCCTGTAAGCACCCCAGGAGCCTTTCATCTGCAGAGGAGAGGGCCTTTTTCTCACCCATCTGGCATTCTTGACCCGTTTAGTCACAACCCCAGGACTTCGAAATCATTTCTTGTAACCACAAGCTAGCCGGTCCATGGTGTCCCAGGACCAGTCTTTGATGAACGCAGAGGCTGATGGCCGGAGGGCCCGGAGCGTGTTGGTCCGCGGGAACAGCAGGTCTGTCTCACGGGGCACCTGTCCCGTTGTTGATCGCTCTCGACGCTCCTTCTTGCAGATTCATCCTGCACCGGCAGCGCGGAGGAATCCGAGATGCTGAAGAGGCAGCGCTCCCTCTACATAGACTTGGGGGCCTTGGCCGGCTATTTCAACCTTGTCCGGGGCCCCCCCACACTGGAGTATGGCTGATGGATGGCTTCATGTCTGTCGACTGTGAGCACTCTGCGATTTCCTACTGGAAGATGATGCAGCACACACGACACGGGGGCTCCGTCGTCGAACTGCGCTGTTTATTAGCCTCGCACTGCGACCCCAGGGATGGATGGGCTCCGAGCACCCCTGCAGAGGGAGCTTTCGGGGCTCCACCAGTCCACACTCAGTCTGCGGGTTCTTCTTTCTCAGGGGTGTGACTCACGGGAAGAGTCCGTAGAAGGACCGTTTGGGGTGACTGGTTCCTCTCACGTTGCACTTGGTTCCCATTTTTAATCGCAAAGATAATATATTAGCCTGAAATCATCACCGTTCTCGGTTCTCATTTAAGCGTGGGGTCTTTTGTTTTACTTAGAATAGTCGTTGGATGTCAGTATATCATTCACTCCTTGAGCCTTTGATGGTAGATTCTAGAACAAATTGAATGCCTTACACTGTCCCCCCCGCCCCCCAGTATATAGAAGAACTTGAGTATTGTGGCAATAAGCTGAACTAGTGTCTGAAAAACGGCTAACTGGTGAGTTAGGTGCTGCCCGACCGACCGCACGTCTCTTGTTATGTTCCTATGGAAACATTTTGTACTGTACGGGCTATGCTTAGGACATTTAAAACAGGACGTTTTGAATGTGGATAAAACTGTGTAAATCACATAATTTCTGTACATCCCAAAGGATGAGCATGTGACCTTAAAGGAAAAGCAGGAACTTTCGTAAATTCTTAGTGATGCGACTTCTTTTGTAATTCCTTCAACTCCGACTCGCTCGCTCTGGAGCATTGGTATAGGGAAAGGGCATACTGTGTATGTTCCGTATCAAATGCTTTCACAAAACTATCCAAGATATAATATAAATATAAATATATATATATATATATATATATATTTTGACATTGTAAAGTTTGTGAATACTACTTCAAAGTATGTTTTTACAATATGTCCATAAAAGTGATGTTTTGTCCAATGTGATTGGTTAAGTCGACTGAATAAATCCAGTATTTTGTCTTAAATCTTGTGATGAGTGTGACTCTCCATCGGGACTGGGGGTGGGGGCCTCTGAGGCATGGGATAGAGACGTGAAGAGAACATACATTACAAGGAGGCAGCTTCCTGGAAGCTCCGTGCCCTCCTCTCTCGCTCTTCAACATTTTTATTGGCACACAATTCACATATCATACAATTGAATCATTCAGCCGTTCTGTCATCTCCAGGGGAATTGTACAATCAGCACCACATCTCTCTTGGAGCATCTCCACGCCCCCTCCCCCCTGACCCAGTTGTTAAATCACCTTTAAAATGAGTTGTGCACTCATGAGCAGTTCGTGTTCCCGCCCTCCTCCCACTTCCATGATTTACTCCTGAAATCCCCTTTCCCTCCCTATGGCCCACCCCCAACTCCTACATTCCCTATAACACCTTGTATCAGTTAATATCATTATACCTCCACCACTCCTGTGCTTCACAGCTGGGAAGCCAAACAGAAAACAGTGAAAAACAAATTGAACTAAGGTGGTAAGGATAAGAACATACTAGTATCAAGACAACAATACAGATACAGTGAACCCTCGTTTATCGCGGTTAATCGGTTCTAGACCCTACCGTGATAAATGAAATTCCACGAAGTAGGATTCCTTATTTGTAAATCAAATATTTTCATAGTTAGAGCATAGAGGACATGAAAAAACACCCTTTAGTCACCATTACACTCATATTACCCAATTTATTAAACGAAAAAGGGAAAATACAGTAAAACATTTTGGACGTTACAATTATCATTTATTATTTATTATATTATTTATGGCATCAAGCGTGTACAGTATGAGCCAATCAGTGGCAGTAATGACAGAGCATGCGCTGTTACGCAAAAACCGCGATAGAGTGAAGCCGTGGAAGTCGAAGCGCGAAGTGGCGAGGGTTCACTGTAATGATTGACAGGGAGAAGACCCCGTCAACATTCATGAGGCCAGGGAAGAAATTGCCATCATGAAACATCTAAGAAACAAATTCCGGTCGTGTCTATAGTGAGGTCAACTGGACACGTGGTGAGTTCAATGCAGCAAAATCGAGATGACAACGGTCTTTGGCTGATAGTGAGGCTGTTCCCAGACTCTTGCCTTTGGCTAGAGCGGATCTGCCAGCAGCGCGGTCTGACTAGATCCTCTGCAGAGGAGTTTTTGGCACTCACTGTCCTCCATAGCTGCCTACAAATTGGGTTTTCATAAGGATAGCTGTGATACTTTCCACCATATTCAAATTTTATAATTGACATCCTTGGATCACACAAGTTGGAGTGTTTCTTCCATGTGGACTTTGTTGACTCCTCACTTAGATGGCTCCTTGGTTGAATACCAGCCTTTAAGACCCCAGACACTGTTCCCATTGTTAGCCAGGCACCATCTATTTTCTTCGCTACACTTTGCTGTAGCACCCTTATCTTCATTGACCATTTCATGAAGGTGAGTGTTCAGCCAGGCCATGGTGTAAGAACTAATTGTTCTTAGGTTGGAGCTCGGATTCATTGTGAGCCCTGAACTCATTCCTGGATCTGTGTTTTTTGTTTTGTTTTTTCAATTTTCTGGGACTTGGGAATTAATACATATGTCTTATCATTTCATAGTTCAATCATGTCAAACAACTGTATAATTGCTTCCATAATCAATCTCCAAACATACTTTTCCTTCATGGGCTTATTGACATCATCTCTTGTCTTTTAATCTCCCCTGCCCCTCTAGATTGCCCCTCCCTCCAAACCCTTGCTGTGTTTTCTTTCCCTATTGACTCAATGTCCCTGAATTTCATTTACTGAAAAACAGAGAAACAAATAACGCAGCTTTGAGAGGGTGACCCCCAATAGTGGCATGCCTTTGAGATACAACCTATCATACACAAGCATAGGTAGAATATAACAGAATGGCCATCACAGGATTGCCGGAACAATACGCCTATTAGTAAGGCATATAAGACGCTGATTTAACAAGTGGTGTTTGTACATCACTCTTTGTACAGCTGTCTCTTGCTTCCTCAGACACCATGTGTTTTCCTGCTTAAGTCCTCAGGCTACAAGTGTCTGATGTAGAGTCCAGTTCACCCAATGAGGTTCCCGTACAGATGTCTTACTGATGCAGCTTCTGGAGCATGCCATGTACCCTGAAGATGCAGGATTCAGTATCCCAGTGCTCTACGGCACCTGGCCTGGGTTCCTGGGATACCCCAAATGCCCTAGGTCAGTTTGGCCCACCCGATGCATGCCACTAAAGACCCTCCCCACCTAATGTTCCCAAGAGCATCCTTAATCTGTCCTCCTCACACCTGGAGGTTAGCCCTCCTTCTCCTCCCCTCTACAGACATGCACCTATGTACCCTCAAACTTGATCGTTCCTTCTCCACACTTCCCTTGCATCAGTAAACCTCATCCCTCTGCAGGGCCCGTCTGCCTCTCCGGGAGACCTCATGCCAGACCCTCATGGCAACCACTCAGCAGACAGCATGCCCTGACCATTTGATACCAGCTGCTGTGCGGTGCTCTTTGGCCAAGTGTCCTAGACTATACTTACCTGAAGCAAATGGTTTGTGGTACACAGACGATGGTCCACCTCCTCCCCGGGCTGTCTGGTCCCTGGTCAGAAGACCGGATGGCCTGTAAGCTTGAGCGTGTGTCCATTCTGCTGCCTGTTCCTACCACAGTGGACTCAGACAGTATTTGTCCTTTGGTGCTTGACTGACTTTACTCAGCATAATGTCTTCCAGATGCCTCCACGCGTTGAGGCATTTCATGGCTTCATCACTGTTTTTTTAGGGATGTATAATATTCCACTGTGTGTCTGTACCAGAGGCTTTTTTAATCCACTTTTCTATTGATGGGAATTTAGGCTGTTTTCAGCTTCTTGCTCTTGTGAACTGTGCTGTGATGAGAATGGGGGAGCAAACGTCTGCTCATGATCTGTTTCTTTTACCTTTTGGCATTTCACTCTGTCTTAGATCGCCATATTGCCTTCCATAGTGGCTGTACATATTCACAAGTCCACCAGCAGTGGATAGGAGTTCTGATCTCACCACACTCTCTCCACCATTTGTTGTTCTCGGGTTATTTAAACTGTGTGACAGTAATGACCCATGGCCTTCTCTTGTTGCTGGGTTGAGCCCGTGTTAAGTGGGATGTGTCAAACCCCTCTGGAATACTGAGGGGGAAAAAGCACTGTGAGCCCCTGGTTGACTGGGAGTCCTGTACTTATGCATCGATATGACAACCTGTTGCCCTTGAGTTGGTGTCTCATGACAACTCCGTCTATGTCAGAGTAGAACGGTGCTCATAGGGGTTTCAATGGCTGCTTTTCCTGAAGTAGTTCTCTAGGAGTTAGCACTAGATAGATGCAAGCTTCCAACCTTTCAGCTAGCAGCCAAGCCCCTAACCACTGCACCACCCAGGGGAACCCTACATTTAGACTCCCTTGAATATACTGATTGTTCTAGAACAGCAGTTCTTAACCTGGGGGTTGCAACCCCTTGGGTGGTCAAACAACTCTTTCACAAGAGTCGCCTAAGACCATCAGAAAACACATATTTCCGATGGTCTTAGGAATCGAGACACCGCTCCTCTGTGTCCAGGCATGTCCGCCTACGTGCAGATATGCTGATCTGGTGAGAAAGCAGCTCTCTCAACCTTCTCAGTGACATTGGCTTTTTACGCATACTGTCGCAAAATGTAGCATGTAGTTTACTGTTGTATTAAGACTGTTACCCATGCTACACCATGTTTCAAGACAAAATTTCATTTATTTGTAATTAGAAATAAATATCTCACAATATACAATTGCATATTGTTTTGTGATTAATCACTATGCTTTGATTATATTCAATTTGTAACAATACAATACATCCTACATATCAGATTTTTTCGTTATGATTCATAACAGTAGCAAAATTGTAGTTATGAAGTAGCAACAAAAATAATTTTATGGTTGGGGGCCACCACAACATGAGAAACTGTATTAAAGGGTCACAGCATTAGGAAGGTGGAGAACCACTGTTCTAAAGAAACAAATTCGTAGACACTCATATGTGTATAAGAAAGAGCCTTATATACAAGAGCAATTGTACATTGAGAAAACCTCCCAGCCGAGTCCAGATTAAGTCCTTCAGTCCAATATTAGCCCATATGTCTGATACCAATCTATAAAGTCCTCTTCACACTCACAAAACACATGTAATGATGCTAAATGCAGGAAGATCACAGGCCAGTGTGTGGGAAGTCTTGTGGAACCAGTGGTGTTGTAAGCATCTCAGTGCTGGCAGGAGTCTCCACAGGGCTCCGCCAGCTCCCAGGGCTCTTGCTGCATCAGGGTAGGTTCATGAGGCTTCTCGTCAGAAATGTCTTGCAGAGAGTGGGTGAGTGTCCTGTGCACCTCCAGTGCGTTATTTATCTCCTTAGCGCCTCCAAGTGAGGTCTGATTGACAAGTAAACTCCACCCCTTCACTCGTAAGTCTCAAATTGACAACACATCATGTAACTACCACAGTTAGTAACTGACTAACGTTTTTATCAGGCCGATTGATGTCTCGTGCATCAAACGCTGTTGCACACTGCTGAATGGGAGTCTAATCCATCAGCCATTGAGTGCATTGGATAAAACACGTCACATGTTTTACAGAAAACGTCATGCTTTATAACCCTCATGTGCACATATGAAAAGTGCATCATTTTTTATTTAGAGAGGAACCCTGAAGCACTGAGAGGCTAGGGAGCTTTGTGACCAAGGTCACAGAGCAAGCAAAGCTGGCATTTGAACCCTGGCCTTTCTGACTCCAAAGCTCATGCTTGTCCTCACAGTATGGTGCTCT